AGGGGGGGAGGGCTGCCCGCCTGCAACACTGAGGCATCGCTGCCCTCAGCGCGAATTTAGGAAACTCGGGGAGGTTAAAACACAACCAAGCTGAGCGACTCCCCATTCCCGGTCTGGCTTCGCTCAGGTGAACCACAGTTCACTAGGGCACATGAATTAATCTTTCAAAGGGAGTAACTACCTCCTTATTTATAAGCAAATTAGCAATATCACTGCAGCCGGATAACTGATTTCTAGAACAAGGGCGAAGATCGGACCCTGGTGGCTCATCCCATATTAAGCTAGATTAAGCTATCCCCAAGAAACTGAGAAAACCCTGGCTAGAAGTAGTCAACATTTCATTTAACTTGTGTTTCTCAACACGTTGCAATGAAATTTTAGCAGTATTTCAAATACCGCAGGATGTATTGGTGCATTTATACTGGCCAGTAGGATTTAATGCTTTTATATGCATCGTGTTTCATTTCCCCATGAAGTGTGATTTTTAACCTCTCTTAAGTTGTTATTACTTGCACACTTAAGAAGAAAAATAGGCAGAAGTTCATTCTGGAGAATACTGGTCTGCTGAAGACAAGGTGAACGCAGCTCGGAAGGAAGCCGTTTACACCGTAGGGCTTTGATAAAGGAGCAAGGCCAGCCAAGCCCTGTCCTCACCGCACCCTCCCTCCCTTTCTCACTGTAAGCACCTGCAAATCACCCCCCAGCCACTTGAAAGAAAAGGGGAAATCGTTTCCAGTCAAAATCGTTGCATTTACACTTTCTCAGTTCAGAAAGGTACACGGGATATTAACCATCACGCTCTCTGTATAAATTAAGAATTATTTGCATTGGTGTGCAATACTTTTCACTTCTCTTCCCCTAATTAATGGACACTAGATAGAGGGTGCATTTTTTTTTTTTATAAACTGTCTAAATATAGGGGAAATAGAACTTTATCAGCACAGTACTTTATCTAGGGTACATGTATACTCTGGATTTTTTGCTCTTCTGCCCCACTTGAATGTGAAAGCCCACGTTGCTTTAAATCAGTGGAAATCATTAAGAATTGTAGCAAGAAATTGAATTAAGGTGAATTACATTGCGAGAAATTTAGAAATATTTGCATGAGTTACAGAGATCATTCTAATTATGACTGATACTGGTAATGCTGCTGCTAATAAAAGCATTAATTCAGCTCATGAACATGCTCTGTCCCTTTAATGACAAATACATATTTTTGGAAGGAAAAGGGCTTTTTTTAACTTGTCAATGTGAGCAGTAATTCTTCGATGGAATTTTGATCGTATTACTCACACAGGTTGGTTGTACTGCTCAAGCAATTAATAGGAACACAAGATGTGCGATGTGAATCATATCTTTCTGTATGTTCTCACAGTATTGTTCAATTAGTCCCTTCACCTCACCCATACTCTCAGTCCTGCTCTAGAAAAAAACGAAGGTTAAAAGCAGTAAATGTATTTCTGTATGCATTTGTGTATATTTGTCTAATAAAGTCCTCGGTGTGAGCTGTTCATTCAGCTCAGCCACATAGCAGAGAGTGCACTCTCTAGGTGAATTCTGCTGAGTTTAAGAATTGTCAGTATTTTCTTGACTGCACTACAGGTACCTTGACCGTAACATCATTCTGCCTTCCTTTTGACCATGACATGGTGCCTAAAACAGGAACATGCTCTCTTTGGCAGAAAAAAAAAGCAAAAAGCTGTGACTCTTCAGCTGTGTCTACGCTAGGAATTGGTGCCCAGCTGGAGCAAAACTTCCAGTTTAGTTTTTTTTTCCGAGAGGAATCGAGTTTGTGGGCCACAGCTGCTCTGCCAACACAGCCAACGTGTGGTACCTATGGACAATCAGGGGATTCACTTCTGAGCAGCAACGCTACTTCAGTCCAAAAGCTAGTGTTGATCCAGCCAGAGGTGCTTGTTTTTTTGTTAAGAACATAATAAACATCAATACTGCTATCATCACTAAGTATTAAAAGCAGCAGCTTCTGTCTCGGATTGACTTGGCAGAAACAAAGAAGTCTAGGGAGGGCCTAGGAAGTCTAAAAAACTCCCTCAGAAGAAGTTTGGAAAAAAGATACAGCACAAGTTTATCACAACTGCGTTGTGAAAAGTTTAGTAATATCATTCCTCCTCTCTTCCATTTGTTTCTAATCCTTCTATTGAGGGCAGTTATTCACAGTGCAGAGAGAAATGGAAGGTACCACCATGGTGGTTTTTCCTATCTCCTCTTGACAAAGTTAAAAATGAAAATAGATGTTCAATATACTAAAAAAACCCAATAGGCGGTAGCAAGATGGACATCGAGAGGCACCATTTCCAGGTGGCTGGATGCACAGTGTATCGAGTGTGGATGAAGAGGCTGGGCGGAGGGGAGCTCGGGGGCCCCCTCGGCAGCCCTGGCTGCAGTAGGGGTGCTGGCGGCCGCACAGGGGTACGGCAGCCCCGCATCCTCCCACCTCTGGCACAGCAGCTCTCTCTCCATCTCTGCTTAACAATGCCTTAGCATGGCTGGCTTGGCCTATCTCGTACAGAGTCCGAGGGCAACTAAAACATTAAAAATGAGATGATTGACCTGATTTTTTGTTCTCTGCCTGCTAGAGATGGAAAGACACCGCCGGGCAGCAATCACCGGAAAACTTCTTTATATTATTCACTGTGTCGCTACACAATTATCTTGCTGGAAACAGCAGCTATATGACTGAAGAATATTCCTAGCTGTGCTCCACCCAGATAGCACATGAATGTATCAGCGCATCTCCAGATACAAATTTCTGGAGAATTCAAGCCCTTGTGCCCTTTTCCTTCCCTCCCCATCACCTCGCGCGCAGCTGCCAGCAGCTGCTTTGGGCAGCCACCGGCTCTGTCCCGCTCGCCCTGCAGCACGGTTGGGCGACCCGCTGGTGCGCTGGGTGTGTTACGGCTCTTCTCTGTGGGGTGCTGCGCCAGACCGGCGAGCGGGGAGATGCCGAGGAGGCATCAGCCAACAGGAGAGAAGTTCAGAGAACTCTGGACTTGGATGGGAAACGCTGCGAATTAATACAAAGTCTTCAGATCCCAATGCAGCCCAACCTCACCCTTGTACATACACGCGTATGCACACATACACAGCCCCAAACCTGAGTTTCGTGAGAACAGACCATGGTAAATGGAGACTCGCTGGAAGTAACTTTGAGTGCCAAAAAGCACTGCCATTGACAATAGCACAAAACAAAGTACCTTCAAAATGAACTCTAAGACCTTGCCTATACCAGACATACTTGCAGTCCTTTCCAAATCTTGATTCATTCATATCTTTCCTTGGAACCAGTCTGAGTAAAGTTTGAGCTTGGGTGTGGAAGCAGAGCTCAAAGGCTGGTTTTGCTGGGGTTTTTTTGGTTGTTTTTTTTGTTTGTTTGTTTTTTCTTACAAGAATACTCAAGCCTGATTTTAAAACTCATTTCAAAGACCTTGTCTTTCTCTTGCATGCATGCACAAAGTACTCTTCTGATACCTTGATATTCCATAGTTCACACTGATTTATTTCCAAAATTTATTTCCTTCCTTGACACTATCAAAAATTATTACATTTTGTGATGGAATAGTCTATACTAGGAATTAGTACTGGAATTGGCATTGACTGCTGGAATAGTCAATACTAAGGTTCTTTGAATAAAATTAAAATCATATATCTAGAAAACAATCTTTCAAAGATAAATAAAGGAAATCTTTGTGCTTTCAAAGTACTACTGTTCTATTATTTTTATTTTCCTTCTGCCAGTTTTTACTGGAAAGATGTTTTACTCATCCTGGGAAAAATGTCAATGTTTGGACTAAATGCTGTGTTGTTTTGAAAAGGTACAGTTTAAAGTAGGCCAAATTATCAGAATTTTCTGATGAGCCTGCCAGTAGCTTTTTGCAATTCTGCTGAGAAAGCGTGTGTTAAATGAAATAGTAGCAGCCAACATGTGCATTGCTGCAACAACCACAGGCCAAATCAGAGATCAGGGCACCAAACAGTTCATCTATCAAGAGACATATCCCTGCCTCATCTAGGGAGTTCATAGCTTAAATATACCAGTAAATAGCAGTATCTTCGATTAGATAAACCCATCAGCGTTTGCCCCCAGAGGAAAAGTGTTAGGGTCACCTCCTGAGCAGGATTTTCCAGAGCTGGGGCTGTAGTCGGACGCAGGAGATGGCACAGGCACCAGCAAGCCTCTCCTCTCCTCCGTGCCAGGCAGGTGGCCATCCCACCCTGTAAGGCATGGGCGTGGGACGGTGCGGTCCTGACAAAACCCTCTTCTCTAGTTCACCTGCTTAAAAAATAGCCGTGCTCTCAGATTCAGTTGTGTTTTACACTCAGATACTGTTGTTGTTTAGCCCATATTGGCCCATGGGATCTAAATGTGATTAAAATGAACGATACAAGATCCAGGTATTCCTATTCATATGGCAGCCAAGAATAAGACTTTTTTTTTTCTTGCAGAGGCCACATTTTTCATTGGTATGTAGGAGAGTTTAAAGCTTCAGTCTTTCTACCTACACAGGGAAGACAAACCGCCAATGTTTCATGACTCATGCATTCATGCAATCCCAGTTGCTTATGACTGATAGGATTTTATGCCAATTTTACTTTTGTATGTTTTGTTTATCCTACAATGCGTTAAGCTCATGTGGGAATACTCCAGTGGATTTCAGCATTCTGCCTTTTATTCAGGAGAGCTGGAGAAACTCATCATTTCAGATTTAAACAAGCTGTCCTGCTTTTGGAACAGCGAACCACAGTGTGAAAATACACAATGTGAACTAACAGAAATCGGGTTACTGTTCACGCAGATAGAATGGGTTTCATGGATTCAAAGCCGTAATTTAGTTTCACCTACGACAAAACAAAAGCCATTTTACCAAGTACTTTCACTATCAAGACTATGACTCCTGACGGAGTCAGAGCACCTTTCAGTCTTGATTAAAGTCTATAAATGCTGGAAATTAACTGGATTACTATAGAAAATTTGTTCCATTACCTAATTACCCTCTCTGTTAAAAATGTGCATGATGTTCCTAGTCAGAGGGCATGTTTGCACAGAACAGGAGTGTTTGCACTGAATTTAGTTGCCATACACTGAAATGACATGTATATTCCCAGGATGCAATTCTTAGCAACTATCAAAAAGTGATATACACACATTCAGTGCTCCTCCTGTTTAAAACTGCTTGTTGAAGTAATACTTACAAATGTCTGGGCAGAGGCACAATGTAAATTCCTCAGCTGGCATCCCCCACTGCTTTGCATCTCACCCAAGACTACTGAAGATAGCGGGTTGCTGTGAAAGAAGGTTGCCTATCTGTAGCTGCTCCCAGGGAGGCAAAATGGGTTCATTTACAGCTACACATACATCAACAGCCAATACATAACCATTATACATACTAGAGTAGATTTTGGTCATCTAGAGTTGTACAGATGCTCTGGGCCTTTGGCCTAGAGGGAAAGAACCAAAATGCCTTGAAGATGAAAGAATGAAATCCAACATTTTAGGGCTGTGCAAGTGGGGACACAACCCAAACACTGTGCAGCAATGGACCAAAAGGATATGAGAGCCCTCTTCCAAGGAAGCAAAGAGCTGGAAGGTACCACAGTCCATTTGTGCATATTAGGAGAGACAAATAGGGTTTCTGATAGCCCCAGTATGCCACCATTTGAAAATCATAGTTTGTGTCAGACGTCTTAACAAGGAATAACTTTTCTGGTGCCCACAGGATGCCACCATGCTGGGCCGATGTGCACGGCTATCCTACCTGAATCCTGGTGCTGCCTTGGCATTTCCAAAATTGCAAGAAGTGTCCAGCCAAACTGTCACCCAAAAAAGAAGAGGTCACCCCTTTCTTTTTTGTTTCCTTAATCCTTTCTTTTTTCCCCACCACAGATCATTTCCAGCTGTCCATGTGCTAACAATGGCAGCTGGAGCAAGGACCTGGTTCAGAACCGCACTGCTGTCACAAACAAGAATGCAGTGATGTACTTTGCCAAAACGCCCACCCACAATACTCCTTTTTCTTTCATGGGTCTCCTTTTCCTGCATGGGAAACCCTGCTCCTCCACACCCTGCACTGCTTTGGTATGCTAGATTCACAGAGCAAAATACTGTCAGAGCAGAGCGTTTAGTCGGAGTATGGAGAAAAAAGGAACTAGGCAATTTATCAACTACATTTCAAACCAAAAGTAGGGTATTTAGACTAAAAACTTTTTCCAAGCTAGAAAGGGGGAGCATGTCATGAGTGCGAAAAAGGTAAGGCATTTTTTTCTATGCAAGATTTTTCCTCCAGGAGCACAAAAATTATACACATTGGTAGCTGAAGCAGGTTATTACATAGCAGTATGCCGTGCATCCACCTCACTGGGAAGGGCAGAGAGCCACTTCTGATGAGAAGACTCCAATCTGTGCTGCCACTGCTCTTGCTGAAACCCTGCAGGATCCCAGATGGAGCCAGCTGCATCAAGGGCCATCGCCTCCCACAGCTGCAAGTTACCACTGGTCTTCGTGTGAGGCAAGGCAGGGACCGTGGGGCTCCAGCTCTTCCTGAGCATCACCCGAGCATCGCCAGGGCTATTTACTGCTGGGAGGGATGGGCAGCTGCACGGCAGCAGCTGCAACCCAGTTTTAGCTCAGAG